CATATTATATGTCTGCAAAAACCTCACTTCAGGCTTCAGTGAATATTTCCTTGGTTTTATAGTGGGTACGAACAAAACTTCAGCCGATTCTTTTTTCAACGGTACTTTAAACTCCAATTTCTTTGCTTCATTCCTCTCCTCATCACTCAGCATCTCCTCTTTTAACGCTCGACTTCTCAATGAATATATGGATGTTTCCGGAACCGTAGCCAGGCTATCATCAATTTTTGGCGACCTTTCTGATTGTCCTGAAAAATCAGAAAAGGGATTGCAAATCGAAACGCATAAAAGTATGACGAACATGAAATAAAGAATTAGAAGTTCAAAAAAAAAGAAATCTTCAAAAATTACCAGGAATCGATTTGTCAGAATCTCATGTTAATAATGTTACTGATGCGTCACATGCGCAAGTCTATCATGCTATTCGAAGCCCAGATGCACATTTTCAGTTGATACGCGTTATGTGTTTGATCTCTACACAGCACCCCTCAGGAAACTGGGATTCACAGATGTCATTTCAGCATCACAAAAATTCATTACCAGGACATCCCAAAAATGCCTCAAACACAAACCGCAAATGTGAAAGAAAGCCGCCTTAAGGACCGAATTATGTGCAACGGGCTTGGGAACAGGATTAAACAATATATGCCAATTCCAAAATGTGCCGGAAAGCGAAGCAAAAGTTAGGAGTCTGGCAAGAGTCTCCGCATAAGGTACTAATTTTAGTGATTTTATCAGTCAGGAACAGCAAAATTTAAATTTTATTTCTGCAGAACGCAAACACTTCCTTTTTTATCAAAATCACATGGAATATTTTTTTTAGCGAAATCATGCGGAATATTCAGAACTGCGTGCAGTTTTGCCACATTTTTCTTTCTTTTCTAGCAAAGTTACGTGAAACAATTCATAGCATGGCTATAACCAAAGTCAGGGACCATAGAAATTTCTGTGTAATCAATTCCTCGCGCCCTGCCACGAGTGAAAGCCGCCGTCAGAAGAACGTTAAAATAAGTGTGTTGATGTTGCTTCGAAGCACCGAAAAAAATTTGATGAATCAGGTACTACTTCAAGAAAAATCGAAAAAGCAAAGACGTCAGTTAATTAGAAGTTACTTAACTACCGGCAAGCGAAGCAGATGCAGTTTTGGTCAAAGCAAGCAAACTAACCCCGTCCATAGCACTAGCAACACAGGCGAACTATCGCCACTCAGAATTGTTTAAGAAAAATCGAACCCAATATTTGCATTTTTATGCGTTTTTGAACAATTATGCAAATGTGAAAACGCACACCGCCAAGAGGTTGTTATGCGTTTTTGCATATATGTAAATTGCAAAAACGCATATTGGGAAGAGGCTGTCTGCGTGTGTGTGTGTGTGTGTGTGTGTGTGTGTGTGTGACTGTGTGTTCGCACTTTTTGTCACCCACTTTCAACTCGAGACCCAGAAAAGCTAGAAGGCTGAAACACTTTAGAGGTATTACCATACCATGCGCGACCCTCCCGTTTTAATTTCATCCCCCGCGGACGACTGGGTGCCGCGTACGGACGCTTTAAAAAAATATGCAAATTTTTTGGCGGGAAAGCGATCTCGGGAACCACACGAGCTAAGGAGCTGAAACTTTGTCAGGATATTCCCTGCGCATGTACTAGCTAAAGATTTCAAACTCAGCTTCCAGGTGTGCGTGGCACTCATTTAAGAGCGTATAAAAGTTTTAGGGGGAAAATTCCTAACTCGGGTACCTGGAAAACTAGAAAGCTGAAACTTTGGGGTAATGTTCCCTATCCAAGCACTACTCAAATATTTCAAATTCAGC